GGAGGGGGAAGAGGAACAACTGCAATAATCTGAACAATAAAGATTTTTTTTTAAAAAATTAGCCTGCTATCAAACATTTAATTAACTCTCCACTAGTGCCTTGGCAGGGCCAGACCAAAAGGTCTCTGGGCCATATATAGCCTCCAGGCCAGACATTCCAGAGGAACAACTGCAATAATCTGAACAATAAAGATTTTTTTTTAAAAAATTAGCCTGCTATCAAACATTTAATTAACTCTCCACTAGTGCCTTGGCAGGGCCAGACCAAAAGGTCTCTGGGCCATATATAGCCTCCAGGCCAGACATTCCCCCCCCCTGGATTAGAGTATTGGGGGGGGGGGTGTTGATAATGTTATTTGATTATATAAGATAAATCCTTTTTTGCAAGAAATACACATTTGAGTATTAAGGTTAAAGCAGTATCATGTGCAACTTACTCTCAAAAATAATTATATGTTATATATAGATACACATATACAGAGTTAAAATAGAGGAAAAAAGAGAGTTAGAGAAGTAAATGTAAAATAAGAAATCTTGGAAGTTTTGAAATCCTGGTCCATCTTCCTCACCAACCTCTGGAAAGGCAGCTTCCGGATCAGAAGCCCTGTAGATTTCTGGTATCCCACGGATTTCTCCAAGTGCAATGGTCCAGGACCTGTAGTGATGGGGCATCTTCACCCCACTGGTAGAGGGGGCACTTTTCCTGGCAGCTTTTAGTGGCCAGCTGTTTGAGTGCGCTTTCCCAACCATGCTTTGCAAGCAGTCTGCTTGGTTTGGGCCATTTTCTTTCACTCCACGCAGAAGTTTTAGGCCGCTTCTTAATCCGTCGTCCTGCTCCTGCTGCCCAAGGAGACCCGCAGTCCAGGAGCTAAGTGCACGGACTGCCCGATCAAATAACGGAACCAATTTTTTCTTCCTAAAGCATTTTTATTGAGATGTATTAGCTATTGCACAGATTCTGCCTTGGAGTCCCCCTCCACCCCCACCCCAAGAAAAAATGAGGGCAATTTAATACCTAGAACCATTGTAAGCCACATATCTACACTGGTCTCTTAGACTTCTTTACCTTGAGCTGTTCTATTTGCTGTTTGGACCACAGTTAGGGATAAATATGTTTGGAAAGCTGTCTTAGATGGGAAACACCAATGAGGGCTACAGATTCCTGATTTAATGGTGAAATCTGGTTGAAAGCTATCCCTTTAAGCTGTTAACAAAATGTGAGCACCTCAGGGAAGGAATTCCCCTCTCTGAGCTGTGGTTCTATGTGTGAGAACAACAATGCAGCCCATACACAGTTCTAAGGCCTGGTCTGAACTAATAAGTGAGGCCTGGTTCACAGTGAGACCTGTATGCCAGGAAGACGCTCAGGGGCCTTACAGTTCATCTCCCCAGAATCCCAAGCTACCACATAGGGATTTAATGAGACAGTTCTTCCCTGACACATCATGAGAAAAAGCCACACCACACACACACCACACTCAGATTCCCCCCAGCATTGATCCTGAGAACTCTCAAATATCATCCACTGGCAAAGATCCCTGAACTCCTAGAGTCAATTCCAAAACACAGGGCTAAACTTTGCTTTGGCATCCCCCTTACCTTTTCCATACAATCAGTCCAATGACTGCTATTAGTACAATAACGCCAAGAGTAATCAAAGGAGCAGTAAGTCCCGAGGCATTTCCCATCTCAGATCCTGCAGAAAGAGGAGGCAAACGTTAAAAGGAAACCTACGTGCAGGGGCCAAAGTAACCACACAACCACTGCTAAGATATCTGTGGTCGTGCGTCATTTCCCTGTCATAGATATAACCACCAATCCTCTGCCACACTTCTTGTCATTCCTATCACATACACCTCCACACAACAAATAGTGTGTTTAGCAACTGACAGAAATACACGGCAATATGGACACCACCTACCACATATGTATGCCGTGCACATGTTCAAAGCTTCCACACTACATCATCTTACATCACTATACACTGCTATATATCCAATATCTGTCCCCCCAAAATTCATATGTTGAAATCCTAATACACAATGTGATGGTATTAGGAGGTGGGGCTTTTGGGATATCATTAGGACATGAGGGAGGAGCCCTCGTGAATAATTACTGCCCTTATATAAGAGGCCCTAGAGAGATTCTCTTATCCCTACCACCATGTGAGGATATAAGAAATCTGTGACCCAGAAGATAGCCCTCAACCAACGAGTTTTATTATATTTATTTATTATAGTGGCCACAAGTCAAATTTGCATATCACCCTGAATAGCCAATGGGAAGGGTAGCGAAGTTACAGTTAATTACCATGTTTCTCTATTATTAGATAGCATTATATTGTATTATACACACAAAGCATATTTCAATTCCAAATTTTCCATGTCCCACACATTTTCTACACACACCACACTCATACACATCCCTGGCCCTTGCTTCCAAAAACAATTCCTCTCTCCCTCCAGGACCACTCAAAGCCGCATCTGGCAAAATCAAGCAGCCCCTGCCTCCCTAACCCCTCTCAGCTCTAGGCAGATGCATTTGACCTGCAAGATCATCCCCACCCAAGACCAGAGCCATGACCACGGAAACTAAGATATGAGCTCAATTAACCCAACCCACCAGCAGGGGGGGTTCTGTAGTGAGCTGTATTATCTTTAGCTCAGGATCTAGTGTGCCTGGGGAATGGCCTTGGCATGTGCAGGACTCCCTAGTATGGACTCCCCTGCTTGGGCACAGAACTACTGATTCGACTTCTACCAGCCAACGGTTTGCAGTGGCCCTGGAGCCTGGCCAGAAGAGTTGCCGGTAGGGTTGGGTCTCTGGCCCCTGATAGACCCTTATCCTCAGGGGGCATGGACAAGATCCTATCCCCTTTCTCCTAGTAGCTGACAAGCTTCCCATTCCAGGTCATACAGACCAGTGATGGTGAACCTATGACACGCGTCAGAGGTGACACGCAAACTCTTTTTTTTTTTGTTTGATTTTTCTTTGTTAAATGGCATTTAAATATATAAAATAAGTATCAAAAATATAAGTCTTTGTTTTACTATGGTTGCAAATATCAAAAAATTTCTATATGTGACACACACCAGAGTTAAGTTAGGGTTTTTCAAAATGCTGACACACCGAGCTCAAAAGGTTCGCCATCACTGATATAGATCATCCAGCTCCTTAAGCTGCCATAAGTTACCAGCAACCCTGAGAACGCTTGTCACCACTCTCTAGCTATTAGGCCATCCACCCTGGCTTAGGGACCTAGTCTGGACTGCTGACTCTGGGGCTGAAGTAGGACAAACTGAGCTTTCTCTCCTTCCCCATTGGCCCCCATTTTGTCCTAGATTAACTGGGAACCTGAGTGTTACGTTATACACCCTCAAGGTGAAGAGTAAGGTACACGTTTAGAGGATGCTTACCTCTCCCAGACAGGGTGAAGTTCGACCTCCTGGAGGTGGGCAAGGATATGTGACTTATCACACATTGGTAGGTGGTCATCACATTGTGTTCCAGAGAGTGGTTCAGCCTCAAACGGCTGGTTTTATTAAATGTGCCGTCCTCATTCTTGATGGCTGGACCATTGGTGATGCCTTCAGAAATCTTCTGGCCCTGGGGATTCTCCTGTGTCCATATATGCCAGGTTATGTTAATGTCCTTTGGGTAGAACCCACTTGCATTACACAAAATATATTTGTCGCCATCATCTTTCGCCGTGGCTTGTTCTCCAAATAAGGTGCACTTTGGGGAAGCTGCCAGGGAAGAGAAGTCATGATTTGAGGGTAGGTTGGGACTAGCTTATTATCAGTTCAAATCTTGACCCATAGCAAGCCTCCAGAAAGGATGAGTGAGGCGAATGAGATTCTGCTTAGCCTAAGTAATCTGGGGATGCTGGTCCCAGTGCCAGTGTGTCACTGATAGACCATGACCCCGACTCTCACGGCCATTTTGTAAAGCAGAATTTCTTAACCCACTTGGTGTCATAGACACCTTTCTTTGAGAATCGGAGGAAAGCTCTGGAACACTGTTGTGGTAGAAACTACTGTCCATTCTTCAAGGACACATCCAAGTTAAAACCACATCTCCCAACCTCCACTTCAGCTGATGTAGCCATGTGAACTCAGGGTCTACTTGTTCAGATAGGATCAAAAGTAGGGAGAGCAACCTCAAGGAAGTACCTTAAGGAACAAGGGTATCTCAAAGAAAAGTACTATGGCCTTCTCTCCCTCTCCCCTTCATCCTTCCTGGAGAACAGCTGGAAGACCATGTCATGGTTCAAGATGGAGAAGCCATTTCCAAACACAAGGTGAAAGCTATATGTTGAGGATGCCAAAGTGGCAAGATAAAAGGACTCTGGGTCCCAGATGATCAAAGAACAGCCCTACCTGCCCAGGGTTGGCTCCATTTTTGGGAAAGAAAAAGAAACTACCTTTTTAAAAGCCCCTGTTGCTCTGGCCAGTGTGGCTCAGTTGGGTGAGTGTCATCCCATGACCAAGAGGAGGCCGAATTGATTCTCAGTCAGGACACATGCCCTGGTTGCAGACTCAATCTCCAGTAGGGAGTGTGCAGGAGGCAGCCAATCAATGTTTCTCAAACATCAATGTTTCTCTCCCTCTCCATCTCCCTTCCTCTCTCTCTAACATCAAGAGAAACATATTTTTAAATTAATTAACTTAATTAAAAATAATAAAAGTCCTTGCTGACTTCTGGTCCCCCCCCCCCCCGCCCCCACCTCAGGTTCCCGCAGTTGCAAGAAAAATTCCCTCCTCTTTGGGGGAGAAGGGAGAGGAAAAGTAACCATTTAAAAATATGCCCAGTGCATTCTCCATAACAAAGAATGCTCTCAAGCTAGAAGACTTTGCCAGAGCCCTGCTGACCTGGAAGAATGGTGATTACTCCTTCAGCCCTCTATAACCTTCCTTTCTCACCCAGGAACACTTCTGAAGGTCATAGCCTAGGGGCTCAGGCCACTCAGAGAATGAGATTTAATATCAGGTGATAGACTGCTTCCCCTCCACACCACTTTACCACCACATCAACGGGGCTCCCATATAATGATAGTAGATTACAACTGAGAGCTGCAAGACACAAAATCTACATGAGGAGTTCATAGGGGAACTGAAAGAAAGCAGGGAAGGAGGAAACAAGACGCTAGAGGAAAACTGAAATCTGACACCTACAGCATGGAATTAACATTAAACACAGCCCAGTTCCTAGACAAATTAACATAGACTCCCAACCTAGAAGCCTGTTTACCTCAGTTCCTATTTCCTATACATAATATCTGGCTTTCAACAAAAAATTACAAGGCATGCTGAATAGTGCAAAACAACAAAAGCATCAGAACCAGACTCAGGTATGACACAGATTTTGGAATAAACAGAAAATTCAAAATAACTATGATTAAAATGTTAAGAGCACTAATGAAAAAAGCAGACAACATGCAAGCACAGATGGATAATGTGAGCAGAGAGATGGACATGGTCTAAGGAAGAATCAAAAGTAAATGCTAGAAACCAAAAACACTATAAAAGAAATGAGGAATGTCTTTGACAGGATCATCAATAGACAACACTGCCAAGGAGGGAATCAGCTAGCTTAAATATGTCCATATAAACTTCCCAAACTAAAATGCAAAGAGCAAAAAGAATTTGGGGGGCTGGGGGGAGGAAGGAACCAGAAGGGAAAGAAATAGCCAAAAATTAGACAGTTGCAAAAGTTGTAACGTACATGTAATAGGAATACAAAAAGAAGTAGAGAAGCAGAAGAAATCGTTTAAAATATAATAGCTGAGAATTTTCCAAAATTAATGACAGACACCAAAGCACACACATAGGAAGCTTAGAGAACACCAAGTAGTAAAACACCTTATCATATTGAAAATGCAGAAATATATATATAAATATATATATGTATATAGAATACATAAATATATATTATATATGTGTGTATAACTTACTCATAGAAGAACAAGGATAAGAATGACATTGGACTTCTTTTTTTTTTAAATATATTTTATTGATTTTTTACAGAGAGGAAGGGAGAGGGTTAGAGAGTTAGAAACATCGATCAGCTGCCTCCTGCACACCCCCTACTGGGTATGTGGCAACCAAGGAGGTACATGCCCTTGACCGGAATCAAACCTGGGACCCTTGAGTCCGCAG